CTTCTCTTCTCTTCTCTTCTCTTCTCTTTTCCTCTCTTCTCTTCATGGGTTCCCTGTATTAACGTTAGTTGCGTCACCCGGGTCAAATTCTTGTAAACCAGCGCATGCGTAGTCCGTTTCAAACAGGTAATCAAAATACAACCAAAAATTCTTAAATTTCCTCAAAAATGTCTTAAATTTTATCAATTTTCCTTTCAATGTCGACCAACAAGGCCGAAATACCGGTGTACAGTGGGTTCTGCCCTGATGGAGAGTGTAATAGCAAGTTATTCTTCCCTTCGTACGCAGCTTCAAGTATTGAATGTACAGGTTGTGGAAAACACTACCACAAAGACTTATTACTTCAAGTAGAGCTGGTAAAGGACCCTGCAGAAGCTTTGAGGAATCTATTAAGGTCTGTTTTGTTGACCAGGAGTGCTTTAAAGAAAGGAACGGACCTCGTTAAAGTCAAGGGATATTCGAATTACCATTGTAGGTTGGTCTCTCCACTTTTGACTCACTATGGGATGGATAATAAGACGTCTGAAGCGAAGTTATTGAGAGAAATGGGCCAAGGCGATATTTTTGACTGTTCTCATTTAGAAGATCGAGCTTTTTTTATAGAAGAGGAGTATTTAGATACCTCAGGCTATGGAAGAGATAGATCAGGCTCTATTGAGTACCTACAAGGAATCACAAAAAGGATAAAGGAAGTAAATGATGACGAAGAAAGGATAGTTCCTCTGCATGTTGATGGTGATGGTCACTGTCTTGTCCATGCAATTTCACGTGCTTTAGTCGGGAGAGAAATCTTTTGGCATCCACTGATGGTAAATCTACAGGAACACTTGAAGCAAAATATCACAAAGTATAAAGCATTATTTGTGGATTTTATTGGAAATGATGAATGGGACTTGATCATATCTGAAGCTGGGCCAGATTTTCAACCAACAGACGACCAACCATTGGGTCTTAGGAATATCCACATATTCGGTCTGGCTAACGTCCTTCATCGACCAATATTATTGCTTGATAGTATATCAGGGATACAATCTAGTGCCGACTATAGTGGAACATTCCTGCCAGCACTTGTGGATAATGACTTGTGCAGGAAAAAAGATGGCTTGCTGATACCACCTTTAGCTATAGCGTGGAGTAACTCAGGCCGCAATCATTATATCCCTCTCGTGAATATTCGAAATAAACCACCTGCGCAAATTCCTAGTGGGATTATCCCCAAAGCTTGGGGGATACCTGATGAGTATTTGAAAGAGTACATTGAATTTGATATTAATGATGTTTGTACTGTTGGAGGATCTCGTACAATGAGTGATGCGTACCTTCATCGCTTGATGAAAGCTATGGACGACAAGTTTTTAGAAATCAATGGTGTCTCGGCATCACTTGTGACTGAAGTACATCAGTTTATTTTCAAGCCGTCTGGAGTAGTGGGTGTCCTTCCACAGACTGTAATTGACAGAACTAGACAGAGAGTACAGAATAAAGCTTTAATGAGATGTATTGCTTGCCAGGCTGTATCAGAGTATGATTGTCCTGTCAATCAAGAGTGGCTGGCTCCGGGAGGAAAGATGTATGTGTCGGCAGCTCATGTGGAAGGGGGTCTGGCTAATGGGCAGATGTATTCCTTCCCAGATCATAATTTGATTTGCTTGTACAATGCTGATAATGATGTCCTGAAGCCAATAAAACATGAGGTATATTTTACTCACTATCTTGCATAATGAAATTTTTATAAACATGCGAACTGGCTAGCTGCGAGCTGCAAGCTGAAATTTTTTTTTTGCTGCTGTCGATGAAAAGTAATCAGTCGGTATGAACCAAATTCCAACTTGCAAATCGCAACCACAGATTTTACATGTGTTTGAAAATACAGTAGCTGTTATCTGATTGGCTGAGAACATTTAGCCAATTCACCTTTTCGGCGCTAGCCGTCACATGGTATGAATTGTGTTGGATTGTGTTACGGTCACCAAGAAGTTCGGACAAATGTACTTGCTTTAAATGAACTATTTAMTTGGTTTGCTTAGTTAATTCTCTAAATACAAGTAAAATATCATTTTTCTAACTCGATTGAAGGTTTTTTTATTGCTGTTAAGAGAGCTAACTAAAGAAATCTATCTAAATTTTCTCTTTAAACTCAGTGAATTTTTGTATTGGAATCTGAGAATGATTTTCGAACTTTTTGGTGGCCGTAACACAATCCAACAAAGTGTTAACGACGTGATGGCTATCGCTGAAAGGGTGAATTCTCCGTAGTGAGTAAAAATAAAGTAAGGTTTCATTAATTTTCCAGGAGTTGCCTTCTCAACATCATCCTATGATGTCTTTATTAAAACAACAGAATAGCTGTTATAAGAATTATATGAGTGAGGCTATTGGGTCAATACAATGTTGTCTCATTTGCATCTCATTTGCATSCATTCGTAAAATCTGTTATTCAAGATGGCTGCCGTATGGGTTAAAAGGTCTATTCTGACACTAGCTTGAAACTAGCTTTAATTTTGTTGTACATTCTTGCCGTAGGGTGTAGACCTGACGTTGTGTAGTCTATGCAAAGGACCTCTAAGAATAGTTAAAGCTGATGGTTCCCCAGTATAYGTGAATGGAGATCGAACCTGTACCCCTGTGTCTGGCAAAACCAAATGTTCTTGTGGGTTCAAACACTTCTGGGACGGAATGGAATATGACAATCTACCTGAAGTGTGAGTTAAGTTTTTAAAGTTTTTTCTTCATTGTAAAGTGTTTGAGAACGTTGTATATTGTTCCCTTTAATGTTGGATGAAAAGAGGAATTGGGTAGTTCCAGAAAATATCCATACCCCTACTGGGGGCGGCATTGATTTTTTTGCCCCCCTTGCCTTCGGAAATTCCGAAATGGTTAAAGTCCCCTGGCTCAAGGAATTCCATATCTGTGTACCCCCCCTCCCCCCTGGAATTCTATATCATTATATACACTGTATTCTCTTAATAGCTTTCTAGACAAAGAAATAGTCGCTATTTTCATGCAAGACAAACGGAGACGAACTTAGGAATCAAAGTCGAAAAGCGCATATTACCGCGAACTACAATTAATGGAACTTCACCCAGAGGTCTTAAAACTTCGAAATGATAAGAAAAAAAATACATAATTTCATTGTTCTTATCATAACTTATCCTTGATCTTCGACATTTTTCTTTGCTTCCTTGGACAAACAATGCACAAATGAAGCGGAACAGAACTTGTGAATAAATGTGTTTTCGATTGTCGCCATCTTAATTTTCTGAATAACCGCTGATCTTAGTTAATGCAGGCTTTATAATCAAGAAATACGTCACAGCAAAGAATACGTATTCCCTACATAGAGAACAGGCAGCCAAAGCACACAGCTATAGATTTTACATAAAAACATTAGAAATAAATACAAAATCGTGTTGCTTTTTGGTAAAGCAGCAAATGACATCAAAACAACMGCAAGATATCACATTATTTTAAAGTAAACACATTAACTTGCAAACACAAAAGGGGACTGGTAGCGAATTCACAATATTGCAAAAATCACGGAGGTTCCTATGGTTCCAAGTAGGAGTTTTAGGTATGTCAAAGAGTAGGTACTTCAAAGCAGCTTTATCATGTTTACTTTATGTTATTTACATTGAACTTTGGTGTAAAAGGTTTGAAATGGATAATTTTTTAATCAATTAGCAACAATATTGTTGAATTTTAGGTTTTTGAGTCATGTTTATACCTACGAAGCGATCGAAAGACTTCGAAGATCAGCTGGTTCATCCACTCTTTTCACATAGATATTTCAAAATCAATTCTCCCACCATCCTTTGAAATAATTTTCCAGACCAAGATGCCCCCCTTTCCTTCGGGATTCCTGATCTAAGAAACCCCCCCTCTTCTTCGGAATTCCAAAATGCCGCCCATGGAGGGGTATGGATATTTTCTGGAACTACCCATTGGATAACTTAATACCTGCTGCCATTGGGATTTACACTTGCCACATGCACGCACTAACAGCAGTAAACAGTGATTTACATTTCGTGTGGCCACTGACTGAAATGATTTAGAAATCACTGCAAGGAGGCACCTACCTTATTTTACGATAATTTTGCTCTTTTTTATCTATGTATTTAACAGTCCTCCCTTATTGGACGGTTTTACCGTGAAGTGATATTGTATCACTTCACTGATATGGTTTTTATTCATGGCTTTATTTCATAGATATCCACCTTTAATGTGTAATCAAGGGCGSATCTAGGGGGAGGGTCGGGGGATCGCAACCCCCCTGTCATTCCTGAGGTCAAATGGGCTTCTTGTGGTAAAAATGCGACTGGGATTCCTTTGCC